TCTACCACAAAGGCCAGGGGGGCTGGGGGACCCCAGCTTTTTCAGGGTATCCCAGTACCATGTGGCAGAGGCCAGCATCACAAGAATGGCAGCTGCACAGGACCTCTGGATGGGCGTTGAAGAGAGCAGGCAGTCTCAGACCTCTCCTGCCATGACTCTTGGGATAGGGGCAGCCTCAGCTTACATGCGCTGTAGCACCCAGCCTGAAACAGCCCCAAATATAATCAGGGCTTGATTGTCCTGGCCCAACAGCTTAACAGTACCCAGGCCCAGCTTCCAATCCCCAACCAGATAGGGCTGGTCACCCCAACACACTCAAAAGGCCTTACACAAGGGCCACAGCAGCATGCACTCCCTGGACATTTCCCCCCATGGCCTGTTCTAACAGCAGCTCGGATGGAAGTCAAGCTGTTGCTAGGGAGAAGCAGGATACAGCCTCTCTCTCCTGGCAGAAGGGATGACACCTAACAATAACAAATTGGGAGCAGAAGCTCTGCCCTCCCCACCTGGCTCCCAGGCCAGTCTCCATCCAAAGCAAATAGAGCTACTACCCAAGAGAGGTCCAGTGCTCTGGGCAGAGGACCCAGGGCAAGGTGGGGGAGTCCCCTCAAACCCAAGGGCCCCGCACTTACCATGGTGAATTCCAGGGAGCTCCAAGCTGGGCTTCCCCTGAAGCCTCAGGGTGGCAGCATCCCCTGCTACCAACTCGCTACTCTGAATCCATTAACAGCCCTGCCCTTCTTGCAGGGTACAGAGTCCAAGCCCCTCTCCTGTCCCGTGGAGCCCAGGTGCCAACAAAGAGCACCAGGGAGCCAGTGCTTCAGGGCAGTTGTTACCCACCAGGGGCCAGGGCTAGTACTACTGAGACTGATCCCAGTGCGAGGGCTCCTTGCTGGGCAGTGTGGAGCCCTGCCTCCCCAGACTGCACAGCCTATCCCCTGGTCGCTCTGGGGCGAACAGGAGCAGCCAGGAAGGGAGTGAGGAAGTGATGTTTAGGGAAGATAACAATCCGGACAGCAAAGAATTCACTATAATAATGAGAGAGAAAACAGCCAAGAGGGCTGGGTGGGAGAGGATCTGGGGGCTTCCTGGCTCCACAGTGTGGCCACAGAGGAGGAAACTAGGAGAGTGGGCAGCTCCCTGATCTACAAACATCGAGGGCATTGGCTGAAGGGCCCCTGCTGGGCAATGCTTCCGCAGGGAAGGTGGCAGCTGGGGAGCTGCAAGTGGGCTCAGAAAGAGGGTCATGGAGAGACAGTCCCAGGTCATGGGGTCAGTTCCCTCTGCCACTGCAGGCTGATGATGGCTTCCCCTTGCCAAGTCAGCAGGGGGCTGGCAGACTGGGCACAACCTTAGAATGTGGCAAGTCCAGGACACAGGCTGCCTCCCAGGGTCCCTGACTTAGGGATGATGGTTCTGGAGACCACAGGTTTCTGGGGAATCAAAGCCTGGACCAAGGGGTTCAAACCAAAATACACAGCCTGCCCAGTGGGGGCAGCAACTCAATGTATGCCCTGAAGAGGAGACAACAGAGTTGAGCAGCTTACCTCTTCTGCCTATGGTCTGGCCCCTGAGGATATGCTATGCAGACCAGAACTCCTCCAAATTAGAGGCAGGCAGGGGTGAGGAAGAGGCAAACAGCACAGGTGTACATGCCCCAGCATGCTGGAGCACCCCTGCATCAGGGAGTCTTGGGGGAGTTGTGGATTACCTGCAAACATTGGTCAGGGTGTCAAGGAATTACATTGCAACCTTGTGTTTAACAGACACTGGTAGGGCCATGCATGGGCACAGGAAGCCTGGACTCAGGACAACAGGGGGCTGTGGGTCAGCAATGAGGGGCACTAGGCAAGCATTGGCAGCAGGCTAGGCCTGGAGGGGAATTTGCTTGCTAGTTCCCTACATCTGGCAGCCCTTCTCCCCACTCCTCTGCAGGAACCAAAATGCAGTGAACACACAAGTAAGTTAGAAAGCAGTAAATGACTGAAGCATATGACAGGGCAGTACAACATGCCCACCATGGACGTAGAGAGCTCCCACCACCAGGAGCCTTCTCTCAAGCCCTGGGGTTCAGGGCAGTCCCCTCCTCTGCTCAGTTTAGCTATGGCACAGAAAGTATATATTCAGCCTGCAGCCTTACCAAGATCTGTCCTCCCTGCTTGCTCCCTCACTACAGGGGGTAGAGTCCCCATGGACAGGAATTCAAGCTAGAGCCAGCAGTAAAGCAATGGCAGGGGCCCTGGGGACAATAGGCAGTCACTGACCAAGGGGGGCAGTCTGATCTACTCAGGGCTCAGTTGAGCCTGCCTTTGTTTGGACAGCCCCTTGCTGTGAGATCACAGCCTATTCAGTCCTGGATGGACTCTGGCTAGGGCTGAATAGGGATGAATTTTGGGGGCAGAAGAGGGGAAGTGGGAGACACAGTAGGATCTAGGCTACCACACTGGTTCAGCCACCCATGCTCTGCTGCTATTTGTAGCTTGTTTTGCTCAGACTGAAGCAGCTGCAGCCACTTCCCTACCCTGAGGAGCTGGGCTTCTGCTTCCCACAGCCTCCCCCACCAGCCCAACCTGAGCCCTTGCACAGGAAGCCGGGTGGGAAAGAACCGCAGGCAGCATGAGATCATGGGCAAGGAATTCCATAGCCAGCTTTGCCAGGTGGGAAAGACAAGGGAGAAATGGCTGGCCCAGAGCAGCCCTGTCAGCCACAACACAGAGAGTAAGTGTGCCAGGCAGAAGGCTGGCCAGGGCTCTGCAACACTGCCTGCCTCTGCTCTGGCCATAGGACCAGGCCACACCGCAGCTTATGGGCCTGGACTGGTCTGAAGTAGCCACAATGCATGTAGGAATTGTCCTCAGATGGCTGAGTTTGCTTCTATTTCACTCCATCCCAATGTCCAACCAATAGCCAACAGCCCCAGAGGGAGATGCAACACTGGAGCTTCTGACAGAGATTACCAGCTGGAGCTGGGGGCAAAGCTCGAGGGGACAGGGTGATCTGGGCTCATCTGCACTCAAAGACCCCAGGAAGACAACGGAGAACTACCTCAGAGGGGAGGGCACCGAGATCACCTAGGCACAGGCCCCAGGGAACATGACACTGCTGCTTGCCAGCCTGCATCAGAGCTAGGGCTTTGTGAGTCCATCTGTACTAGGGATCAGGAGAGTGGACAATGGACACCATTAAGCCCCTCCTTCTGAGAGAAGCCAGTGGGCAAGGCCCTCTCACTCCCGTTAGAAAGGCTCAGGCTGTGGAGCCAGAGACCACCAGTTACCCAGTCCCACATTGGGATGGTCTCAAGTGAGCCACAAGGAGTGATGGGGAACCAAGAACCAAGCTCTCCCTTCCCCTGCACAGAGCAGGGAGCTGTGGAAGGCCCAGACCAGACACCTTCCCATCACAGAGGACACTCCAACATGTGCTGTGCTGCTCTCCTGGACGAGTGAGGTCTTGGCTGAGAAAGCTCAGGGCCTTTTAGAAAGAAAAAACAGATGCACATTCCAGCCACAGGAGGGTGCCAGAAGCTAAGGCAGCGAGCCACAGGTCTAGAGAGAGCCCCAAGGCCCTGCACCACAGCTCCACACCCCCATGGCAGCAACCGTGGCAGCCTCCACACCTGGCCCTAGCGCCAAGGGGAGGGATGAGTCCACTTGGCCAAAGCTGTGACCTCAACTCTCCAATGCCAGGGTTGGTTCTTGGGTCCACACAGTCCAGCCTCACCTAGAAGCCCAACTCCTTGGTATCTGACATTGAGGAGCAAACCACAGGCAAAGACACTGCAGAGGGTGCCCTTCAGACTAAATAGCATCGAGTTCACATAACTCCTCCCTGCCCCGGGATCACTGTCATAGGGCTGTGGGGTGCCCAGGCAGAGAGGATGGCCCAGCCCAGAGCTCCCTCATACCCCATGAGCTGAGGGAGTTGGGCACCTTCTCAGCAGAGACCTGAGGAGGTTCAGCTCAGCCCCTCAGGGAGAGGTTGCAGCTGCCCTATTGCCCATGTCCCTGGAGCATCAAGTGCCTATGGAGAGGGCCAGCATGGCACTGGACCCTGGACCCAATCTGAATTCAATGCTCAATGCCCAGGCCTCTCTCCCCACTCCATAGCCATACACTTGCTCCCAGCTCAGTGGGGAGAGGGCCAGCACACACATCTAGCTCTGCTCTAGTAGCTTGGGTCAGTGTATCACTGAGGACAGCAAGACCCTCCCCGGCCTCCCACGGCCAGAATCAACTCTCAAATCATGCTGGAAGATAAGGTCACATCCCTGTGGAGGTGCAGGGGAAGCACACACAGCTTATCTTTCTGCAAGCAGAGGAGATGCAGTCTGCCCATAACACTACACCCCCCCCACCACCACCACAGTAAGCAGGAAGCCCAGTCCAGCTCATATAGCCTCCCACCCTCAGGTCACCTCCCACCTGATCCCAAACTCCCTTCTGCCACAGGATAGCAAGGCCTAGCTGAGGACAGAGTGGGACAAGCAGGCAAAGCAGAAGAGGCCCAGTCCCCACCTCTGACCCCACACACAACACGGCCAGCCCTGGATCCAGGCCCAGGCACAGGGCTCCCTACATGCAGCTGAGTCAGTGGCACAGAGGGCTCCCTCCAAAAGAATGAACAGGGCCTGTGCTTTCTGGGACAACCCCTCAGCCCCATGGTTTCCAGGGATGCTGCTGGCACAACTCACAGCATATACTACACGCCTGTCAGGGGATTGAGGGGTGCCTGCACACAGACCCACAGCCCAGCTGCCTCAGACAGCTCCCCAGTATGCCTGGGACTGGGGTAGAGATTTCTCAGTTAGCAAGACACCTGATGGCTTCCTCCATCTGTCCTTCCCTAGGGCCTGGCATTGCAGACTCAGCTTCAAGACCAAGGCTCTGTTCAACCACTGCATGCATCCCCCCCCCACATTCCTCCTCAAGTTTGACCCAGCCCAATGCCACTCTTAGCCATTTCATATCTACCTGCTCTATGCCACTGCCAGCCGGCCCTACCTGCGGATGATCATCTTCAACGTCCTGTAGGAGCCCTTGATGAGGATGAGGGCCTCCTGCCGGGAGCCATACAGAGGAGTGCCATTAATGTTCACCAGCTCATCCCCAGTCCGCATCTTCCTGGAGAGGGCTGCCTTGCCGCCATCCTCAATCTGGAGACAACACAGAGCCAGAAGATCAGACAGGCCAGGAGGCAGCGGTGCCAAGGGATCTCCCAGCTTCCTGGAGACACTACAGCTCTGTGGTGCTCTGCTACAGCTCTGACTGGCTAGGCAGGGAAAGTGCATCTGCACACTCACTGGCCAGCCCTTGCCCACAATGGCTGAGGTCAGGTGCTCAGACAGGCATGTCAGCAGAGTCCAAGCCCAGATGCTTGGTCCCACATTACCAGGGCTCCCTCCATCCTGACATGACAAGCCCCAGCATCCAGCACCAGTGCAGTCCCCTGACACTCCCAACACACACACGCCTCCCTGCCCCAATACCAGCACAACATACAGCATCACCCCTGCTCCCTCCCTTCTTCCCAGGCCCAGCTGGGGACAAGATAATTGATCTCCTGGGTTACAGGGAGCTGCCCCTTGGATCGCCAATGCCCACTGTGCGTAGACACCTTCCATCCAGCAGAAGGGCTCAGCTGGCCAAGGCCAGGAGGAACCAGGATGACAGCAACCCCTACCCTGTTGCAGAGCCTCTGAGCCAGCCTTCCAGACAGACCCTGCTCGGTGGAGAGGCTAGAGGCACCACTGCATTAGCCATGGAAACCCAAAGCCCTGCAGGGACACTCTAGTCCTATCTCCATGTCCCTTCCCTTGCTTCAAGCACTCAACTGTGTGGAGCCAAATCAAGGATGGAAAGAAGCCACACAAACCCACCATGCATCCACTTTGTCTACAGGAAGGTGCTAGCACATCAGGAAGTTAAAAGGGCACAAGCAAGGAGCAGCAGAGCATGTCATGCACCTCCCCACATCCACCAAGCCATGCCCAGAGCCCTTGTCCACCCAGGAGCTGACTGGGTGAATGCTGGGGAGCCATTCCTGGGATGCTTCAGCTGGCTCTGATGGGACAGGCTGCTTCCACTTCTTTCCCTCACTCACAGCCATTCAGGACCAAGAGAGCCCCTGAGAGCTCCACCTGGCTCCAGTCACCATCCAGCAGGGCATGCCAGGCCTTTACTATGTCTAACTGTTGCACAGATTCACTTACCATCTGTGCTCTAGTAAGCGGGAACATAATCTCATCTCCAGGCCAACTAGCCAGCACTGTTAATTAACACAGCATGCTTGGAAGGGAGGGAGAGAGGAGCAGGAATCAGAGCTGGGTCTCCCCAACCCCCAGCACATCCCCATGGCCACTCCTCCATGTGGTCTGGAGGATCTCAGCTCGGTTCTAAGGGGACAATTGTCCACACCACAAAAGCCACAATTGGCCTCCCCAGAACAGGCAGCTGCAGCAGAGTCAAGGCCCAGACAGCTCTGCCACAAGCTGTTCTAAGACTAGGCCTGTCAATCCTGCACCAGACGCTGCTGTGACAGGCATGTTATGAAAGAGAGAGAAAGAACCTCCGCTTAGGCAGGGGTGTCAAACTGGTTTGCCCCCCCACGGGGCTGGATCTGGACCACAGGGCTCCTTGAAGTCTGGATCTAGATAAGGAGCATTAGGGAGCCACAGGGTCAACACAGCTACTGCTCACCCCCTGCCATCAAAATGAGTCTCCAGAAGGGCTCTGTACCCTGAATTTCAGCAGTGGGCCCTGTCCCTGAATTCCTGCCCCCTCCAGGAGCCCTGCAAACTGGATCCAGTCCATGGGCCATACATTTGACACCCTTGCACTGAGCAAAGGGAATCATCCTGATAAAGCGTCATAAGAGGCTTGTGACAGGGGTGGCTCATACGAGGAAACAATTTCTTAGAAAGAAATTTCACTGGTGGATCAGATCCCCTGGCCATGTGCTGCAGCAGAGAACAGTCACAGACATCAGGTGGTTGGGAATGTCATGGCCCTGGCAGAGCTGAGCTGACCCCTTGTGTCAGCTGGGCTCTGCTCGTGGTTCAAAGAGAAGCAGGGGATGGGGCCTCTTCATCTGGCCAGTGCTGCCTGCTCTAAGGTGCTGTGGATACTCTCATTAAACCCCTCTCCTGGGCCCAGCCTCCTGAGCCCTGCCCCAGGAAGGCTCCTGATTGCATGCTCTGCTGTGCACTGTGTACAATACCTCCCGCCTGCTGCTGGGACAGGGGTTAATAGAGACCAGATGAGGAAGGATGGATTTAATGACTGTGGCATAAACAGAGAAAACAAAAATCAACAGCCTCAGTGGGTTCAAAGAGTGAAGTGATTCATAGATTTCATAGACATTAGGGCTGGAAGGGACCTGGAAGATCGAGTCCAGCCCCCCCACCCAAAAAGCAGGAAGTCAGCTCGGGTCATAGGACCCCAGCAAGATAAGCATCTAATTTACTCTTGAAGGTGTTCAATGTAGGTGCTTGAACCATCTCCAATGGCAGGCTGTTCCAGACCTTGGGGGCTCGGACAGTAAAGAAATTCTTCCTTATGTCCAGCCTGAAACAGTCTTGCAGTAGTTTATAACCGTTCGACCTTGTCATCCCTTGGGGCGCTCTGGTGAACAAACGTTCCCCCAGGTACTGGTGGTCACCCCTGATAAACTTACAGGTGGCCATCAGATCACCCCTGAGCCTGCATTTTTCTAAAGATCCCCCTGGTTCTCAGCCTGTCATCATAAGGTCTGTTTTCCTAACCTCTGATCACGTGTGTGGCTCTTCTCTGGACTCTCTCAAGCTTCTCCACATCCTTTTTGAATTGTGTAGCCCAAAACTGGATGCAGTACTCCA